TCCATATTTTGGAGAAAATTTTAAAAATTACTGTGAGTACTCCAGCTTTGCTCTTTGCTTTCCAAACTGTTTTGTCTATTCAGGTACCTTAACATCTCCATAGGAACTTTTGGATCAGCTCTCCACTTTCTGAAAATGAGCCAGCCTGGATTTTGATAGCAATAATGTTGATAGGGATAGTGCTGAAATTGTAAATAAGTTTGGGGAGTATTACCACATTTGTAACATATATATGTATATATATATATATGCATAGATATGTATATACATATATAATATATCATAATTATATGGGTTGAATGGGAAAGGAAGGGTTTTTAACAAGTTCTAATGTCAGTAGGAATGTTTGCATTTGTGACCTTCCATTGTGTAAATCAGTCAAGGAGTTGAGTTTTGAATACTGGGGTGTCAAACTAGTCATCTAAAATGTTTGTTGATACTATGCTTATGTATAGAGCAAGATGAAAAGAATTATGCGTGGTACCACTAGATGTCAATTATCTGTATTATATTTAAATTTTTCCCACACATATGATAATCAAACTAATGAAGATACCACTTAATATCCTTGAAAATACCGTAATAGAGGAATCCTATCACATGAGAGTATTGTGATGACTACTGGAAATTATCAATTATAATGGAGCTTTCAGTTGTGAAATATTCTTATAATTTTTAGGAGTCTTCTTCTATACAGAAGAAAATCATTCAATAAAAATTATTCTGTCTTTTAAGAATTTATGAAACTAGGCCAACTGTTCTGGAGAGGTTAAAGATTAAAAAGTGCTAGCACACTCACACAGGAACTTTTGTTTGTGTGATTGTTGATGTAGTTTTCTGTATGAAAAACAGGATACAACAGCAGAAACCAGCTAATGGCTTATATTCTCTGAAATGCACTGGATTGAAACCTACTGAATGAATCATTATTGGTAAACATTGTCAAGATAAAAACAGGCTATCTTTTTGTTCCTGGGATGTCCATATTCTTGTCAATTTATTAGACTACATGTTTTAGACAGAAACATTATAATATCAGAATAATACCAAGCATGATGTAGACAAATTTTAAAAATACTTGAATGAGGCTTCTCTTTACACTCATTATGAAAGATTGTATAATTTATTAATATAGAAATATAATAGGGTTGATTGATCCTTTCTTAAATTGTGTAACAAAGTCATAGAAATTAGATGGTTTAATTTTCTTTCGAATAATATTTTATTTTATTTTTTCACATTTTTATTAAGGCACATTTATTGTGCAATGTGGGGTGGTTTGTGATATTTCTTTTCTGTTTTTTTTCTTTTGGCAGTACTGGGGTTTGAACTCAGGGCCTGTCACTTGTTAGGCAAGTGCTCTACTCCTTGAGGCATGCTGCCAGCCCTCATTGAGAGATATCCACACATGTGTATATTTTGATTATATTCACCCCCTCTATTGCTCTTTCTTATCTCTTCTCCCTCATCCCACCTTTTCTTATTTTTCTTGCAAATTTTTTAATGAGTTTTATTATATTTCCATACATGTGTACAATGCACTAGGATCATATTTTCCTTCCTCACTCTCTCTTTCTCCTTCCATCTCCCACTGGTTTTGACCAAAAGTAGTCCCCCATTTATGTTCATGTCTAGGTTTTTCTTTAGCTTTAGTTTCTACACATGAGCAAGAACATGCAGTATTTGTCTTTTGAGTCTGGCTTGTTTTATTTAACACTGATGATCTCTAGATCCATCTACTTTCCCACAAATTGTTTTTAAATCACCCTTTAGCAGCTATGCACAAATAACTTTTTATTTTTCACATATTAATGTATTTATAAGATCCTTATCCAAGCATGTGTTTGTTGTTCCTTAAGGTTGGTAGTGATTGGTGTTCAGACTTTAATTATAAAGTCAATCTATAGTATAGTTATACATTAATAGATGTTTTGATTAAAATGGGGTCATTTATTTAGCATGCTTATTAAAACATACTTACCATCTTATTATATGAATTATTAAATCTGTTTTATTTAAAGGAAATTCACAACTTTAAAAAACCTGTGCTATTTTCCATAATCTTATAAGTTTATTTTTCATTTATGAAAACATTTTGCCATTGGCTACATATGGAGAAAACTTATCAAGGAAAATTTTATATTTAGCTTATAAAAACATATTTATCCTTATGTAATGGGACATAGTATAGGTAAATCTCTTCATTAACATATCTTATTTCATTTTGTAAAATAAAGTGTATTGAGACTTAAAATATCAGACATGTGATTAGTGATGATAATATTTAAGGTTTCTGGATGTTGTTTGCTGATTTTTTTTTTCTTTTTTTTTTTTTGGACTGTAATGTTGTCAACTCATAGAAGCTCCAGAAAAAATGCAATTTTGGTTTTACAACAATTACCTTAGAAATATAATCTTCAAAAAATGTTTTATTATCTTATGAGTCCATTATGGTATAAAATCAATACTTCAGCCACTCAGTGGAACATTTCATTTGTTTTTCAATATTTTTGAGAGAAACCACTATGTGCTTCTGATTTAATATTTTCCTGCCTTAATGAAACCCTCTAAGTAAATAAAATAACCTTTTAAAGTCATTACAAGGTAATAGCAAATGAATAGAGTTACAACAAAGTTTTCCTTTGTGGTGAACAGACAGGATAGGTCTAATAGCCTTGTGTGAGCTTATGACACATGAAGTAGCATCTCTTTTCTCAAGGGAGGATGTTTGAAATTAAAGACACATCAATTCCAACTTGGGTGGCTTAGATAGTCCTCTGTGCTTGGATAATGGAAGTGTTTTTAAGTAATTGTTCATAAGAACACTCACAGTCATGTAGTTGCCAAAATAAGGTAACATAACATTAAGGGTGAAGAAGGAACATTGTTGAAACTACACACCTGACCTTTTTTTACTTTTGATGGGACTGGGGTTTGAACTCAGGGCTTTGCACTAGCAAAGCAGGTGCTCTACCATTTGAGCCACACCTCTAGTACATTTTGCTGTGGTTATTTTGGGCTGACATTGAACAGTAATCCAACCTATCTCAGCCTCCCAAGTAGCTAAGAATACAAATAGGAGATGTGTCCAGCATACACCTGAAATTTTTAAGGTATGTTAAGGCTGTCATTTTCTGAGTCTTCTCTATAGATTATTATACTGATGTTCAAATGATGGTGCCCATAGACCGGATGAGCCTAATTTGAGCAGCATTAGTTTTCTATTGCTGTGTAAATATGAAGTCCAAAGTTTCACAGCTTTAAACAACAAACATTTATAATATCACGTATGTTCTGTAAAGGAGAAATTCAGGAGCAACTTAGTCAGGCTTTCAGGCCCAGGGACTTTCATAACAATGTAGATAAGATATCAGTCAGAGCTGCAGATACCCAAAGGCTTGATAGGGACCAGACAATTACATTGTAGGTGTTTTTCTCACATGCATGGCAAGTTGGTAGTTGTGGCTGACAGAAGACCTCCACTGCTTTTCATAGGACTGCTTGAGAATTTTCATGACACTGTAAATCCTCTGGAGTGAATGATAAAAAAGAGAGCAAGCATAAGTAAAAAATGACTTACCATCAGAAATTACGTACCATCATTCCTAGAACATGCTATTATTTATGTAGGTCACCTCTATTCAAAGTGGAATAGGCCCACATGAGTTCATGGGTTTCTAGCAGAAGAGGTTATTGCTGGCCATATTGGCAGCTGACTACCACTGAGTATAGTAATTCTTCTTGAGGATTATTATTAAGGCTGATTTGGGGAAAATAAGTTTTATTTTCTCCCCTTCAAAAATGTCTTCACCTCCCCTTTCTGTGCCTCTCTGAATAACTCTATATTTCTAAATCCCAATGCTTTCAGGTTGGTCCTTTATTCCTTAGGTCTCTGTGTGGTATCTTTCCTGCTCTTCCTTCCTCATGCATTCAATGAATACTTATTAAGGGCAAATTGAGAAAATCATTCTTTCCACAGACCTCACCTTTTGTAACTTCTTTTCATAATAAATGGTCTCTTATTATTCATAATTTCTAGTTTTGTTCAATTAGAATTCTGCTAAAATAGTTATATATTAAGAAGATGAAGAAATTCAAGGTAAAATATCAATGGTTGGTACCATCCCAATAGGAGGAGGGCGGATAAAGGAGAATGATTGAATGGGTAAATTAAACTATGATATATTGTAAGAACTTTTGTAAATGTCACAATGCACCCCAATGCAACAATAATATAATAATACAAAATAAAGCTTAAAAACATTATTTTATTAAAAGTATTCTGTGATTTATAAGACTCAACTTTAAGGCCCTAAGGCAAATATTAAGCAGATAGGGAAACATCTTCATTTGTACTAATTATACTGCTTTAATTCACTATAGGACTGTATTTGCCCAATGGAGAACATTACCCTTAAGCTATCCATTCAGCAAGGACTTATTCACAAAGTGGAAAAACAAGATAGGGGGGAAAGTGCATTTCAAGTCTAAGGAGGGGATAGCACATAAATTCTGTTATCTGCATGAGCACACGAGGAGTCAGAAATTTAAGTCACCCCTGTGCCATTTTTTTCAAAATTTGTACAGTATGATCTGAATTTCTCCCAAAAAGGTACAAAGACATGGATCATCTTTTATATAAGTTTATATCCTAATCCAGTTCTTCAAAGATTCTGGTATTTATACATGTGATTAGCTCTAAAGTATCTTGCTATGGAGCTTTTTATTTTTAAATGTTTTTAAGTTTTTTCTTGTTAAAACTGTTTTGGCCAATAAATCTTTCTCCAAATGTCAGATTGGTCAGAAATGAGTAGGTAAATAGAAACTAATGACACTCATCAGGTTTATGTTGTGAATGATTTATTGGACCCAATCATTTAACACTTTCATAAAGTCAATATCAGAGAAAGAAACTGGGTTCTTATTATGGTAAACTGTATTTGTACTGTCAGCATTCAGTGATTTATTACAAACCTGTGGCTATGATTAGGTTATTATAAATGGGGGAAAATGGAAGGCTCATTAATTTTTTATACCCACAGGTGGAAGACATGCAGTGGGCTAATAGAGAACATACTCACCCAGCGTCTGTCTGCAGCCTGCCTTGTAAGCCTGGAGAGAGGAAGAAAACCGTGAAAGGGGTCCCTTGCTGTTGGCACTGTGAGCGCTGTGAAGGGTACAACTACCAGGTGGATGAGCTCTCCTGTGAACTATGCCCGTTGGATCAGAGACCAAACATTAACCGCACGGGCTGCCAGCATATCCCCATCATCAAATTGGAGTGGCATTCTCCCTGGGCTGTGGTGCCTGTGTTTATTGCAATATTGGGGATCATTGCCACCACGTTTGTGATTGTGACCTTTGTCCGCTACAATGACACACCTATTGTGAGAGCTTCAGGAAGGGAGCTTAGTTATGTGCTCCTAACAGGGATTTTTCTCTGTTATTCAATCACCTTTTTAATGATTGCAGCACCTGATACAATCATATGCTCCTTCCGGAGGATTTTCCTAGGACTTGGCATGTGTTTCAGCTATGCAGCCCTTCTGACCAAAACAAACCGTATCCACCGAATATTTGAGCAGGGGAAGAAATCTGTCACAGCACCCAAGTTTATTAGTCCAGCATCTCAGTTGGTTATCACCTTCAGCCTCATCTCCATACAGCTCCTTGGAGTGTTTGTGTGGTTTGTTGTAGATCCCCCCCACACCATCATTGACTATGGAGAACAGCGGACACTAGATCCAGAGAATGCAAGGGGAGTACTCAAGTGTGACATTTCTGATCTCTCACTTATTTGTTCACTCGGATACAGTATTCTATTGATGGTCACTTGTACTGTTTACGCCATTAAAACAAGAGGTGTTCCAGAGACTTTCAACGAAGCCAAACCTATTGGATTTACCATGTACACCACCTGCATCATTTGGTTAGCTTTCATTCCCATCTTTTTTGGTACAGCACAGTCAGCAGAAAAGGTAAGTGGCAGAAAATGCATTTGACAATGCATTCTTCCTTTAGGATGCTTTTCCTCCTTTTGGTTCATTTATATTTTCACAAGATGGTTCAGTCTATGTTATTCTTATTTGGAAGTATGTACACACATACACACATAAACACATATATCTCAAGGTCACATTGCTTAGAATGTGTTGAGTAAAGTTGATTTTCCATGAAAAATACTTTATTGTATCCTCCTTAGCAAGATTGACAGAAATCACATCACTTTCTGGGTCACCCTTCCCAGCTGTACTTATTTCACTGCTCTTTTCCAAATGTTAATTAAAAGAAGGATGGAGAAAGGGCAGCTGTGGTTCATAGAGGTGAGTTGTCTCAGAGATCTCACTGCATAACAAATGTCTCCTTTTCTGTTCTACTAGATATCTGGGGAAAAAACATTCCTTGATAATTATGATGATTTTAGCCATAGAGCAGAGTTTATAGTAAAGCAACCAAAACAAAGAGAAACTGAAGTGGTTTAGTACAATCTAAATCACCTTACTAAAATTTCTTCTCAGCCCTTATTTTTGTTACTCTTCTCTATGTGGAGGATGATGGTGAAGGATAAAGACAGCTTGGACAGTTATATAAAGCAGTTTATAACTTTTTAGACAGTAATGAACAATTGAATATCCCAAAGTAATTTCCTTCATCAATAATCTCCCATTATGTTTTCCACATTAACCATTGTTAGTAAAGAGCATCTCCATATGAAAGGGAGTATTTGTTGCATTAGATGTAGTTCTATGTACAGAGAAGCCAAGAACTAAAAAGTTAACCCTGAATTCTAAGGTTTGGGTGGTGGGATGGTGATAAACTATCCTGTAGAAGAAGGGAGGTACTATCTTTCTGTAGTGATAGGCATGCACACCTAGTGTGTATGTAAGAAAGATCTCTTAAAGTGAGGACTTAAACATTGGCCCATTCTCCTCATCAGAACTAGTGAGGGAATCAATATACTGCAAGAAATTATATTACCTGGGCTGGAACATTACTGGCAAGGTTCTGCATGACTTAAAATCCCTGAAAAGTCAAAGAAAAAGTCTTCAATGAGAGATCAGAAAGTTTGTCAGGAAGAGCACTCATTCTCTATCGGGTCCATATGGCCTTCAACTGTTGATAAAAACTGTACTTTGGCCAACACTGCTGAACAGAGTGAACTTGTCCTGAGTCCCAGATCCTTTGTGATTTTCTGGTTGCATAGCCTCATGGAGGTCCATGGACATTTGATGTAGGGTCTCACATGCAGTTAAGACAGTTTCAGGCTCTAATCCTAATATTGGAAAACACATTGTGGCATACATGGATAGAAATTTATTAGGACCAAACTTGTAAATTTAACTTATGAAAGAATGTATGAGATGGAAAATAACTTTCAATTTTATTTTTAATAGATTTATTGGACTACTAAAGGCAAAATAATATTTTCAGAGTTTAGAAATGTTCACATTATATGAATTATTAATAATTTCACCTTGAGTAGTTCTTATATTTGTATGTGAACCTTTATTAGATATTGTTTTACTTAGAGAGGATCATGGTAAGTGGTTTAGTCTTCTTCCACTGGAACTAAGCATTTGAACCAAACAAAATTCCTGAACTAACGTCTAGCTTCTTTTTCTTTCTCTTCTTTCACATTAAAAAAAAAATAAAGAAGTATAATCTATTATTTTTTGTACACTGACTTCCACATATGGGAGGAGGTCAAATGCCAGTGTGATTTGATGCTTTTTCTGTTGATATAACACAGTGCCTCAATTTTTAGACAAAATAAAATTGTGGTCCCACATCACAGTATTAGACACCAATATAGTCATCAAATAGGATTCATATTAGTAGATTTTTTGAATAACTGTTTTTTAATCAGAACATTAATGTTGCAGAGTTGCAGCTGCAATCTGAGGAGCAGTGAAAGAGATAAGAATTTGGGGGTGAAATTGACACATGAGTATGCCAGGAGGTGGGATTTCTCTGTGCTGTTGAGCCTAGGATAGCCAGGCATCCACTTGATAACCTGGAAGTTATGAATCTGGAAATATCCATGCCTTTGGAGATATAATTGAATATGATTAACAAATTTCCTCTTCTTTCTTAGTTTTGTGGAATGAAAGTAATTCTAACAAGCAACTTCCAAAACCAATGATAAAATGTTCTAGTTGGAATATATTTTGAGTTTATGATATAATTAAATAAGGAATAATCTGAAGAACTCAATAAAACATGCTAACTCTTGGATCTTTCCGAACATTGTAGAGTCTTCAAATTACCTTGGCTTAAAGTTGTCAAATTTAAACAAGTTGTACATCAACAGCTATTGTATCATAAATAGCTATGATCTTGCCATTGAGCTACTTTACACGAGAGGATTATGTACAATACTAAAATTTGCCTTAAAATTTACTACCTTCTATTCTCCCACAGTGTCTTTTATTGTCTAAAACAATAGATAAAATGTCAAGGGTATTTATTTTTTTAACATAACTGAAAGTATTGACATGAATATTAAAATGAACAAAACATTTATATATGTAAAAGAAGTCATTAAAATAAGTTCATTGACTTTGAAGGAGCAAAGAATTGGTCAGGCCTCCATTTTCATTTATAATGCTCAGCCAATTAGGCCTATGTTATCAGCTTGAAGCATTTACAACAGCTTGGTAGCTCACACATCCATTAATTCAACAGATCCTTATTGAGCATTTGTCCAGCCTTATGCAAATTATTGAACCCATGTTAATCTGCTTCTCTGTGTCTTCTTTGTTAGACTTAGTCTGACTCCCAGTCCATGCATTCCTACTGTCTGCCAGCACCAGCAAATTCCAGGCTCAAGGGCAGGAGAAGGTGGTGAGGGGTCAGATCTGAATGAGTAAGCAAAGAACTGTGCTTTCTGCAACAACATAGTAGTGACACAGGATTTGTAACATGGAAATAGCAGGAAGAGCAAAATTTCTTCTAGTATACATTTGTTTATGCCTTCTCAGAATAATGTTTATAGCAGAAAACTTATCTAACTTTACAGGTCTCTCTGAAAGTATACAAAACAGAAAGAAGTAAAATTAGTTGAATAATTTGCAGATATTTTGAAAAAAATTTGGGTAAAATCAAATTATAAAGTGACACTTATAGAAGAATCATGAAGAGTGCCAGCTCCATGAAGTATGTCTCCATTCAATAGCAAAACACCATTTAGTTTCCCCACTTTATTATTTTTTTAGATTTTGAAATCAAGATGAATTATCTTTTTTCCAATAGATAGTAATAGACTGCTGAATTCTATTAAATCATGTTATAAATGTACTTTTTGTCTTCCTGGAGAACAGCAGTGTGGAGGACCCACTGAGTCATGGCCATAGGCAAGAACAAACACACACAATTATTCTGAAAAATCAAAAAAATCAAAACATAATTAACTTAATAGTCAGGAAAAGAATCATTAGAGATGTTTAGGAGCTGTTAGGATGGAAGAAATCTCTTAAGTACATATTTTATCCTTCCTAATTGGGCTCAGAAAGCAGAGATAACCAGACAAGGGTTATGACACTGTCAAGCTCCATGGAGCATAGGGCTTCAACCAGAGCTTTGATGGAAACAAAACAAAATAATTTCAAAATGAAAAAGAAAATAAAGCTCAAGAATGGCAAAGAAAAGAAAACAAACCCAAACATCGAACCAAACAAGAAAACCAACACATTCAGAATCAGCTTTTCTTCCTTCATTCTCTAGATGCATATTACAGCATCTACCCAGTTATTCAAATGAGAAACTTATGGTCATCTTCAACCCCACCGACTACTCACCCCCACTCCTTTATTTCCTCTTATCACCTTTAAGTGTCATCCTGTATAAATTTGTGGACCTTCAAAAGTGTCTGTCTGATGTGTATCTGAATGAATGCATCTCAACCTATAGCTCTCCACATAGTACATTCTCAATAAATGACTAATGACGGAGTGAAACGAGTGCCTTGCACAAAAATAGCATAATATGATAATGTAAATAATTATTTAAGTTAGATTATGACAGAATGGAAATCTTTTATATACATCTTATCACACTTCTTTGCAATCTTTCTCTTAAAAAGTTTTACCACTTAATGACAGGCCACGCACATTCTTTAAATTGTTTTTGTCACTATCACGTATTCTGAAAGAGGACTAGTAAGTATTTAGAGAGAAAGGATAAATAGAAATTCTAGTTATCTTTCATCCAAACTAAAATTCATTAAACTAAGGGGAATTGATGTGACTAATTATTTTGCCATGCAGCCCGTCCTGTGTGCTTTTACTGTATCATCTGTGTAGAGGTAGAGGAGAGCAAGAGTGGACCTGTACTGGGGGCAGCCAAGAAGAGTATGAACTCTGGAGAGTCATGACTTGAGTTTTATTCCTGGATCTGCTAAATTAGCTGAGAAAACATAAGCGAGAGGATATAGTTCTGCAGATAAAAATAAGTTCCCCCAGAGAATGCAAATAGAACTACAGAGCCATGTAAAGCAATCACCTGCTTTTTGTGTCCTGTCCTAGTCTCAAAGTACAGTGGACCTCAGTTGATATGTTCTGAGAGAGGGCAAGATGGCTGACTTTTTAAAATTGTGTTTTCTTGTACTAATCCACACTCCATGCAAGTTTTGCAAAGAGTTACACAATCTATGAATGAAAGAAGGGTTTGGCACATAATAAGCAGTGAAAATATGTTGGGTATTATTATCATAGGCTATTGTCCATGAGGAAATGGACATTATTTGGTCTTGCTCACCACCTGGCACAATACCTGGTCTGAAATATGCCTGTCAAAAATATTTAATGACTGATATATTCAAATGGACTGAGTTTGAGGATCCAGTTTGATTATTTGAGGTAGTCCTTTCCCTTTCTCCAGCCTTTTAGACCCTGTTTGTGCAGCCCCTAACTGGAAGTGTTTCCTCAAACATGAAAGCCTGCCTGAACTGTAGATCTCATGATTAAAGCCATGAGAGAGA